CCCCTCGCTGCACGGGGCTAATGGTGATTCTGTCCGACGAGCAGCAGGGTGCGTTCCTGACCGAGCTGATGAAGATGCGGCCTCAGGATTCCACAGTGACTGGACCTGGACTGGGCGTGGGGTCGGGGCAGAGGGAGGAGGGATGGGGGCGAGTGGGTCATGAGACAGCAAGACGAACGCTGTAATAGGAGGACCAAGGACCTGCAAATCATGAAGACCGTCGTCCGTCAGTCCTACCCCATCCTCCCCTTCCCTTCTCCTTTCGCCCCTTCCACTCTCTTGCTCTCACTTCCTTGCTTCCTCGCTTATCCCCCTTCCCTTCCTCGCATCCTCTCAGCCTACCTCCCCCCGCCTAGACTGTAGATCGGGGGTGCCCAGCCCAGCAGGTGGGTGACTTAAGTCGCTGGACCCGGTAGTGTAGGCTACTTAAGTCACCCGCTATACTACACGGCCTTCTGGTTGAGGTCACACCATTAAATCTAATATCGTTCCTGGGGTGACGGGACCCGCATGGATGAGCCACGGCTTTACACACAATGGAAACCAGAACGTAGTCACTTCCAGTACACTGTAAATCCGGGGTGTCCAGCAACTGTACGACAAAAGGTGCCCGACTCTAAAGGTGTATACCAGAGCGGACGGACGCTACGCAGTGTTTACGGGTTTGCCTACTCCCTCCACCCGGTCGCCTACACTGTGAATCTGGGGTGTCCAGTAACTGTGTGACAAAAAAAGGTTTCCAACCCTAAAACCCGTGCGACTTCAGTCGCAAAGCTGCTGGACACCTTTTGGTTTGGCACCCTTTTCCCTGCACAAGGGTCCAGGCCAAGCCTAGGTAGGGTGTCCTGTTGTTGGACACTCCCTGCTTGGGCCCCTCTGCAGGGAAAGGGTCCAAACTACAAGGTGTCCAGCGGCCGTGCGACTTACGTCACCACAGGTTTTAGGGTCGGGCACCTTTTGTCGCACAGTTACTGGACACCCCAGATCTACAGTGTAGGCGACCGGGTGGAGGGAGTAGGCAAACCCGTAAACACTGCGTAGCGTCCGTCCGCTCTGGCACACCCGGCACACCCGGCACCGCCCGGCACAGTGTAGCTCGGCCGGGCCGGCACGAAGGCCGAGCCGAGGGAGGGGCAAGGCGCGGTTTGATGAGGCGCGAAAGAGCAGGAGAGGTCATCAGAGAAGGGTGGGAGGAGAGGAGAGGGGGAGGAGGGTGTTAATGTGACGAGGTGCGATCACTAACCCTCCCCTCTCCTTTCCCTCACCTCGTCGTCCTCCCATCCCCCCAACACCTAACCCTGGGGCGCAAGCCTCAAGACGGGCAGGAAGGTCCTCTCCCAACCGGAAGTGGAGCTGGACCGCACGGCGGCCGTGCGGGGGCAGCAGCGGCGGGCGTGACCAGGCCGCCCTCTGGAGGAGTGGGAGGGGGCAGGCTATATGTTTGACGCCTCTACCTCACACCTTACCTTCGAGGCTGACGCGAGAAACTTTACACCAACTACGCTGTTTTGTGTATGTTGTGTTGTGTGAAAGAGGGGGGGGGGATATCACCCACTTTGGCTCCATGGATCTACGCCTGGCGTGTACCGGACAAGCCGCCCGCACGAGTAAGTAACGTGACTGTGTTTCTGTTCCAGATGGAGCGGTGATGGCCACCATGGCCCTGCAGTGGGACAAGCTGTCCCCGGCAGAGTTCCAGCTGCTCCAGGACTTCGCGGCCTGTGAGTACACGACTGGATGAGAGGACCTGGGCTGTTCCGGGCACCGTGCTATCGACAGTCGGAAGACGCCCGTATTAGTCCAATGCTCCTCCCCCGACTTGCGCTCTCTCTCTCTCTCTCTCTCTCTCTCTCGCTCGCTCGCTCGCTCTGCCACGAGCCGCAACCCTGTCACCACCACGCTCCGCCACGCCCCGAACCTGACAGGTGGAGTCCAGGGGCCGGCCGAGAGCGGGTCCTTGGCATTCTGAGAGTGAGGCCGACGACTGTCGTGCCGGTCCATCAGACTGCCGGAGCGGGAAGAGCGGGACAGAGGGGGATATTGAAAAGGGGAGGTCGGGGGTGAGGAATTGAGACAGGGAGTGAGTAAGGAAGGGGGGGGGGCGGAGAATAATTGAGAGATTTTGTAAACAAAAAACGGGGTAGTTATAGTTTTCACTGAAAGCTCATGTTAAAATGACGGCGTTATTGGACCGAGTTTTCCCCCCGTCTGTGCTGCTCGCAGAAGCTTGGGAAAGTAGGTGGGAACAAATAGTTTTCGTGTTATGTGAGGGAAAGAGAAAGGAGAGAGAGAGAGGTATGGGCGGGGAGAGAGGCAGCGCGGGACGACAGGAGGGAAGCGGAGAGGCCTTGCAATCGATCCCGTCGCGGTATTCTTACGCAATACTCTCGAGCAACACACGCCATCCCGCCTTGAGCCCCCGTGAGTGGGGCTTGGCGTGGCCCCGGCACTGCCCCCGGGATTCTATCGGGGTGTAGGTGTCGCGTACTCTCGCCCAGCCGTCGGAGCCTGCGAGGCCTTCGCCCCAAAACATATTCACATATTTTTTTTAACGGCTCGTCGACCCGCTGCCCCAGCCGACGCGCCGACACCTTCCATGTAAAGCACCTGAATAATTATTGAAGTTTCAGTAATTTGTGAATAATTTTTATTTTGGGGCGCGGTCGTGCGGGAGCTCACCAGAGAAGGTATTTCCATATCCAATTACACGCAGGGAGTAAAGAGCGGGCGTGGACGAGGGGGGGGGGGGTGCAACGAAGCGCCCCGGTGGAGCGACCCGACAAGCCCGTCGTGTTATGGGAGGGAATGAAGATAAATGTTGATGTACTTGGACTTGAGGTCCAGAAGCTGACCAGCTGGCGGAGCAGGCTGTGCTGTGGTACGGGGTACGGGCTGCCTGCTCTTGCACAGGGGGCTATTCAGTCAGACGTGCACCCTGCGCTGGCGCATTCATTCATGCTGTTTCATTCATCCGAGCCGAAGTCCTTCCCCTCTCCCTCGCCTCCCGCAGGTTTGGAATCCTTCCATATTTGCCCGAGCTTCCCTTTCATCGCGGGCCTTGCCCGACTAGAAACCCGCCTTTTCTTTTTGGTTTCTTTTTCTGCGTTTCTCTTTCTTGCGAGCTGCGAGGCGCGTCCCTCTGCCATGAGGAGAATTAATAAAGACAATCTTCTTTTTTCCCCTCCAGTTGCGGGCCACCTTCACATACATCAGTCCTCTGTCGCCATCCCTCCCCCTCCACTAACCTCCTTTGTTCTTTCGTTCTCTCCACACCCACACAATGATATAGTCGCTAAAAAAAGAAACACTGGCGAGAAGATGTGGGAGTCGGAACAGGTAGGGGGCCAGTCGGGAGCCCGTCTCTTACGACCATGCTCATGGCGTTTATATATTTTTGACCTTTGTTTTGTGACTTTGTCCGTAACTTTTTTTATTCGGTTTTATTTTTCATTTTCCCGTTAGGTTACTCTAAAACACTTGCCGGCTACCTTACTCCCCTGCAGTTTGTGTTGGCAGACCTGATTTTCACTGATAAAATTTGTGGGGAATTTTTACCAAAACTGTCTGAGTGTCCACGTCTTGCCTCGACTTTCTATGGTCAAATTACCATCCTGTGAAAAAATGCCATTACAACAGTAATGTACTTCCTCGAAAATACGTATGTGAAATAATTTTTCCATATTCGTCACGAGTCAGCGAACTTATACCATTCGAAGTATGATAAAAATTCTTCCTCTTTATAAAAACTCCTCACCGTTTTCGTTGCGGTAGTTTAGTTTACGTAGCTTACCTACGCACGGTTTTAAATCTTATTAATATGCCAAAAAACATTTTAGTACATGCGAATAGTGAAATTTACTTCATCTTTGCTGGGACACGCTCACGCTCTCGCACACTCACAAGCGCGCGCGCGCACACACACACACACACACAGGAGAAGACGGGTGCAATAAACGCAGCCCAGCCCGGGCGAGCCACCTAACGCCCTAATACCCAGCGCTCACGTCTCCCCCGGTCCCGGCGGGCCCGGCCCCAGGCCCCAGCAGCACGGCCTCCTCGGCCCGGCCCGCAGCCCAGCCCGACGCAGTCCAGTAGCAGTCGTAATCCCGCGGCCCACCCCGAGGCTTGTGCTCGGGATGGCGCCACGGACTTCGGGCGACTTTCGACTTTCCGGGCTGGGGATGGGGAATGGGATACGGTTCACTGTTACAAGTGTATGCAAATCATTGCTGTGCAAGCCTGCACAAAGGAACACTTCGCACCTTCTTGCCAACGAAGCTTCAGTTTGTCCAATCCTGGCTTGAGAAAAGCTGGCGAATGCTTTTCAGACTGATATCAGTGTGGGGGGTTGGGGCTCGAGGTGGGATTCGGAGTTGGGGACGGGGCCCGTGATCCGGCTGCTGGTACTAGGTGCTAAGGCTAAAGGCTGGGTCCATTTCCTGCCAGCCCTCAGCGCGCCCCCGGGAGTGGCTCGCGAAGTCGTCCCCAATAAAGACGCCAATCGGCCACCCCTTCAGCGGCTCTCGGGTAGGGAGGGATTAGCGAGCTCCCTCGGCTCCGAGCGCATAAGTAGCACGTGCGGGTTACATCTGCTTAGAGAAAAGGGAAACAAAAGGGAGAAATCGATTCGATTGTCGTCGTTGTGAAGAAGTGGTACACTTAAGTCAACGAGTGCAAAGCAGGGAACACAAGTGTATAACAAGTGGTCACTTTCGACCGCTTTCAAATGTTTCGCAAGGAAGGGCAAAATTAAAAAGTTCTGTACTTTCAGCTCGGAAAATGGACTTATGAGCACTGCACAACTACGCAACGCAATAGACCATTTCAGTTTCGGTGATCAAGGAGAAGAAAATAATAACCGAAACAGGAAACAGTTGTTGGGCGAGGGGTGAAGAGGGATGGAGGGTGGGTCCGATTAGAAAGCAGTGCTTTTCCGGTTTGTTATCCTTTTCTTCTTCTTATCACCTAACCCTGAAATGGTCTATACAGGGTGGCCGCTCTGCCCCGTCATTTTGAAAAGGTAGACTAGCCCGCTTGCAGACGGAGAGGGGAGGTGAGAGGGGACGGGAGAGGTCGTGCGGGCGGGCTAGTCTACCTCTTTTAAAAAGACGGGGCAGAGCGGCCACCCTGTATAACACGATCGGGATTTTCGGCTACCGTAAAGAATGTGAGGAAAGGTATACGAACTTGTTAAAGTAAAGTATCTGATCTCAGATTTGGTCGCAAGAAGTCCGGTGCTTAGTTACAATTATTGTCATCAGAAATTTAGAGTGTAGATAAGGGTGGGTGTAGGTCTTCATTGGGCTTTCCTGAAAGTAAAGATATCCGCTGCGCCACGGCCTACGCCATTCCTCTCAACAGATTAGCCGCCTGCTGCCAAGGGCTTGGCGAGTAAAAACAATAATTACGTAAAACAGCCTCCTAATTTTCTCTTGATAAC